GCCCCCCGGGGGCGGGCTGGTGGGGGGCGACAGCCCCGCCGGCCCGCCGCCCTGGACCGAGACCACCTGGATCTACCACGACGGCGAGGACACCAAGATGATCGTGGGGGAGGAGAAGAAGTTCCTGCTGCCCTTCTGGCTGCAGGTCATCTTCATCTCCCTGCTCCTCGGCCTCTCGGGCATGTTCAGCGGCCTCAACCTGGGCCTCATGGCCCTGGACCCCATGGAGCTGCGCATCGTGCAGAACTGCGGCACCGACAAGGAGAAGAACTACGCCAAGCGCATCGAGCCCGTGCGCCGCCAGGGCAACTACCTGCTCTGTTCCTTGCTGCTGGGCAACGTGCTGGTCAACACCACGCTCACCATCCTGCTGGACGACATTGCTGGCTCCGGGCTGGTGGCCGTGGTGGTCTCTACCATTGGCATCGTCATCTTCGGTGAGATCGTGCCGCAAGCCATCTGCTCCCGTCACGGCTTGGCCGTGGGTGCCAACACCATCTTCCTCACCAAGTTCTTCATGATGATGACCTTCCCGGCCTCTTACCCAGTCAGCAAGCTGCTGGACTGTGTGCTGGGCCAGGAGATCGGCACAGTCTACAATCGTGAGAAGCTTCTCGAGATGCTGCGGGTCACCGACCCTTACAATGACCTGGTCAAGGAGGAGCTCAACATCATCCAAGGGGCTCTGGAGTTGCGCACCAAGACGGTGGAAGATGTGATGACTCCACTCCGAGACTGCTTCATGATCGCTGCTGAGGCTGTGCTGGACTTCAACACCATGTCTGAGATCATGGAGAGTGGCTATACCCGCATCCCTGTCTTTGAGGGTGACCGCTCCAACATTGTGGACCTGCTCTTTGTTAAGGACCTGGCTTTTGTGGACCCTGATGACTGCACCCCACTCAAGACTATCACTCGTTTCTACAACCACCCTCTGCACTTCGTCTTCAATGACACCAAGCTTGATGCCATGCTGGAGGAGTTCAAGAAAGGTGGGACTGTGGCCGTGGGGAGTGGGGGAGGGCCCTGTGGGTGCATGTGGCTTCCCTCCCTAGCAAGCTGGGCTGAGGGTTCCTGCAGATGGACATCTGCCCATCCTCTTCCCCTAAAAGCTGCTATATGGGTCTGCATACTCCCTTTAAACTAATTGTGTGGTTCCTGGTAAACCTCTTTCTGCCTTCCTTGCCCCCATTTATCTGTCTATATGTGAAGCTCTGCTGATACAGATCTGCCCAGATTTTTGTGTGTGGGCCTAGGGTTAAGGAAATTGGGCTGCTGCTGTAGCTCCCTAATATCCTCCTGGCTTTGCACACACGTGCTGAGGTAAACAAAGCTTTTAAACTTCATTCATAGACTCAGCTGTGCTATTTCTGTACCATGCTTGTTTGTGTTAGGTTGCCCAGCTGATCTGATTGACACTTAGGGTCTGCCGCTCATGAATTGCTTCAGGGCTTTTTGCACATCTTGCCATTGTATTTTTCTTGCTTGTTAATGCCACACACAGGATTAACCACCCCCTGTCCTTTGTCCTCCTAACCACAAGCTGAGCCACATGTATACACAATCTTCTTAAGTGTGTTTAGTTTTCTAACCAAAGCGGTATTGCAGTTTTGTAACGTTTACCCCTGGGATTTCCAGTTTTGCTTCAGTTGTGGGCTGAGTTCTCCTGGCACATCTGTCTGTACTTCTGTTTTGGATTTCTTCTGTCATCAATAGTGGCACAGCAAGTGTCAAATCTGTTCCTTTATTTAAAACAAGTAATAGAGCAGCTGCTGACCTTGTGCAGGGAAATGAAGTTCCAAATTAGTTGCATGTTTGTGGAGATCCTTGCTAGGAAACTCAGAGCGATGTGTATCTCCTGAAGTCTGTCATATCCTGGGAGTTGTGATCAAAGTACTGCTGAAAAGTTCAGTCACTAGGAGATAACCTCACTGAAGGAGGAGCTCCTTGGAGCACTGTGACCAGGTAAATAGGGGAACAAGAGTTAACCTTTTTCATAGTAACTCCTGCACTTTAGATGAACTCTGTAAATTGCATCTAGGGCTTATTGCCTAGAAAAGTCCTGCTATTTAAATTTCCATTCAGCATCTGATTTGTGTGCTAATCTTTAAATGATCCCTATATTTTATGACTGCTCATTTAACGAGGTTACTGGGGTTAAAAGGCAGACTACACAGGATGCAGATTATCGATCTCTTTTTTGATTAAAAACAAATGGGCTATCTTCGCTAGTAAATATTAGCATCTAATTTGTTCACCTACCCTACTTGCGGTAGTCATTTGAGGCTTTATAGTCCACTTCCTACCAAGGTTTCAGAACTGCCCAAGGGGGAAGTTAGACTCTGACTCTTTGGCTTGTAGATTCTCTGGTGTAAAAGAGGTTTGGGAAAGTAAACTATGTGCTGTCTAGTTTTAAATCTTAGGTTTTGACATGTTAATATTGATTTCGTATTAATTAGCAAAAGTTTTTTATAAGGCCAATTTGCATTCTTAATAATTGGCTCAAGGATCAGGGTTGTATTGCCTTAAGTGTGGTTGAGTAGTGGTGTGCCTATAAAGGAGTCAAAATGACTTTAAAGCTCTGTTTCTGTCACTGAAGGAGTTGAAATCTTACCTGATTGCTGCTAGCAGGGAGTTTTCTTGTTGGGAGAAGAAGATTTGAGAAACTCAGCAGTTGTGGGTGACGAGATATTCCCTACTGTGATTCATGAGGATTATGGTAAAACAGGTATATTTTGCTTCCTCTTTGTGTCTTGGAGGATGTACTCTGGAGATCTTTCCATCATAGTCACTGAGCGCTTGTGTTCTTGCGGAAACTAACCAACCCGGGTATTGTGGACTAAATCCCCCATGCAAACGCTTCTTTCTGAGAAGGGCAACAAGATGATTACGGATATAGAACTGCTTCTATATGAGAAGAGATTTACAAGCTGAAAAGTTCTAGTCTTTTTAAAAGAGATGGCTTGGGGTGGTGGTGGTTGGGATATGGTACAGATCTATAAAATCATGACTGGTGTAGAGAGAGTGAATAGGGAGGTGCGTGGGATTGTTATTCATCTACGAATTTGACACTGTTACCCTGCGCTTGAACAAAGACATTAAGTGGATGTCGCATTGTAAATCCAGTCTCTTCTCCCATTAAAAACTGCCTTTTTACATCAGAAGTGAAGAATGGGACACTTCCAGACCACTTAATTAGCCTAATTAGCACCTGTCCTACAACTGACAGATGGTTTTTTTGCTGTTATATATCTCGGTTTGTGTTATTTATCCTTCAGCTTATCTGAAGAGGGTTTTACTCATGATACTATGTATTTTCGTTCGTCTCTAAGGTGCCACAGGACTACTTATTGTTTTTAAAGTTACAGACTAACACGGCTAACCCTCTGGAACTGAATAGGGAAATGTTATTTCGTGCTTCACATAACACAAGAACTAGGGGAAGCCCAATGAAATTAATAGCTAAGGGATGTTATGTATATAGGGGTGTGAATGACTAGTTGACTATCCGATAAGCAAATGCTTAAGTTGACAGGATAGTTGACTAGTTGCTTCCTTCCCCTTGCTGACTCTGTCAGGTAGAGGTACCAAGTGGGGGGACGAAGAGGGGGTACTTTAAAGTGGCAGCACTGCTTGAGGCCTGGGGCCAGACCCCGGGCTCCACGAGGCGCTGTCACTTTGAAACGCCACATGCAGCCCGGGGCCAGGTGGGGTGTCCCCAGGCTTCATGTGGAGTTTCAAAGCGGCACCACCACATGGAGCCCAGGACGAAGTAGGTACTTCTCACCTGACCCCAGGCTCAGGGTAGCACTGCCGCCTTGAAACACCGGGGAGCCCGTTGTCAGGCTCCTCGCGGCATTGCAAAGCACAGAGCCCAGGGTCAGCGAGTCCCCAGGTGACTCCGGGCTCCATACGGCACTTTTGCCTTTGAAGTGCAGCAACAGCCTTAGGGTTAGTGCTACACTTCAAAGATGGAGGCACCCTATCGACTGATTGAATAGTCGATGCAAAATGCTTTGACTATTCGATTAGTCCACTGCCTGATACTTAACATCCATAATTGTATAATGGGGTTCAAAATAGGGATGTAAGTGAGTAGTTGAGTAGTCGACTACCTGATAAGCTTGGTCTTATTGGGTAGTCAGATTGACTACTTGTTTTTCCTCCACTCCCTTGCTGACTCTGTATCGGAGGCAGCAAGGTGGCAGAAGCAGGAGCAGGTCCTGGGCTGGCTTCAGGCCAGGGCTGCTGGACCCGGCGCTAGCCAGGATTGAGCAAACCTGGCTCAGTCCTGGCTCACGTCGGTCTGGGATCGCTCTACATTTTCATAGAATCATAGATCACTGGAACTGGAAGGGACCTCGAGAGATCATCAAGTCCAGTCCCCTGCCCTCATGGCAGGACCAACCACCATCTACACCATCCCTGATAGATGTCTGTCCAACCTGCTCTTGAATATCTCCAGTGATGGAGATTCCACAAGCTCCCTAGACAATTTTTTCCAGTGTTTAATCACCCTGACAGGAAGTTTTTCCTAATGTCCAACCTAAACCTCCCTTGCTGCAGTTTAAGCCCATTGCTTCTTGATCTATCATGAGAGGCTAAGGAGAACAATTTGTAACTGGTTTTTTTTTAGATACTTGAGAACTACTATCAAGTCCCTTCTGTCTTCTGTTGTCTAAACTAATGAAGCACAAGTCTTTCAGTCTTCCCTCATAGGTCATGTTATCTAGGCCTTTGATTGTTTTTGTTGCTCTTCTCTGGGCCATCTCCGATTTCACCACATCTTTCTTGAAATGCGGTGCCCAGAACTGGACACAATATTCTAATTGAGGCCTAATTAGCACAGAGTAGAGTGGAAGAAATTCTTCTTGTGTCTTGTTCACAACACTCCTGTTAATGCATCCCCCCCATTATCAGCCTCCTGACCCTTGAGCCCCCACCACAACCCCCAGCCCCAGCCTCTTGTTTCCAGAGC